CCAAGCAGTCGCCGTGCGCCTGTCTCAAACGGTGGGCCTTTCAAGGTGAAACCAAACACACAGCCAGTAGTTTAGACCTCCAATTCGCATCTTTGGATTTCCCCATTTGCCTTGACCAGCGTAAGCACGAGATCCATCTTCTCCCCACTTGAGATTTCTGTTACTTGATGGCATCACGCCCGGTGTGGATAAATCAGCTCGACCAGCCGAAACCATGCGTGCCCTAGCTTGCAATTGTTGATTTTTACACTTATCAACGTGTCACATATACATATATTATGCAGGAATGATGCTTGCATGCATGTGCGAATGGACAGACGGACGGACGGATCGACGCACATAGGTACGTACATTCTGTTTTGTGTGATACGGTGCTGATGTTGAGACTGCTGGGCCTATAGAAGGCAAGAACATGTTCGCAAGGCTGGCAAGACAAAGCAACATGTGGTACAATTCCCCCCACCATCAACTCATTTGACTAAAGGTCTGGGGAATGCGGGGGATTGATCCCCGCTGACGTGATACAGAGGAACCTGCCCTATAATGCAGTATTGGTCATTCGCAAAACGACTGTTTCACTAGTTGTATCACAGAAGTGGCTTCCATTTCTCAACCCCCTGCACCGGTACATAAACAACACTTGCGAATTGACCCTGATCCGTGATGTGCCTTCCCATCAAAAACGTGACAGCGCACAAACCCCTTTCGCAAAACTACTTTCCTCTTCTGGAGGAAGCCTGCAATTCCAGGTTTGCTGATGGGAGGGTATTCCCCGGAAGCGATTCCCCCCGACTCTTGCCAACTTGGTGCACGCACGCCGCCGCCTCTGCGGTGCTGAGCGGCGATGCAAGGGTCACGACCTTGGAAGCCGAACGCCGGCTTGCAATCCCAGACCAGTGGGGTGACAAAAACGAGCTCCTTCTTTTGGTGCTTGAACTTAAAGGGGACTTCCGAGAACAAAAAAAAAAGGGGCACTGGAGGCCGGGAAAGGTTTCCTAATGTTGATGCCAGAAGGCCCTTGAAACTCGGGGGTAAAGATGGGGGAAGTCCCTCAAGTGACCCTTGCGAGTGGATTCTTGCGGTCATTTCTTCTGTTACTAAGAAGCTCACAATGGTCAAGGATCCCTGAAGGAAACATCGCGGGATGGACGAGTTGATGAAACTTCGGGAAACCCCCCTATGAATCAACTATTGCTTTAGCATCCCCAGATCTGAGCTCCTGGGCCGTCTTGAACAGGCGCCCGACGGCCAGGAACTCCTGCAATTTTGCAAAATAGGTCTGATTTCCAAGCTGCATGTCGGGGCAGTTGAAGCATTTTGACAAATGGTGTCTTCAAGGCACACGGATGCACCGAAGCACACCTTCTTGTTTCCTGGTGCCGTGCACACCCCATCCAAGCAACAAGGTGCAATCCCCCCAAGAAAGGGCTTCCACATCAATAAACAAGGGGTTTCCACACCATAGGGCGTCCCTCAAATCCACTGCCCTGTCCTCTTCCCGGAGGATGGGATCCTTGACCTGAGCGAAGGAATCGACTGGCCCAATGTCAGTGGGGGTCTCCCCCCCTTTAAAAGACAACGGATGTTGCAGGTTCACAGGTTAATTCAGTGGGCTTGGATTCCTTTTCGGGACCCTTTGGTGGACATCATTTGCATTGAGATGTTTGTCCACCAACTATGTTTGAGGATCTTCTTCTCTCTTGAAATTCATGGCCATGGGCATGTTTCTTGAGAAGTGGATAGCTTCGATTGTGGCAGCGGTACATTCCTCAATACCCTCTGGCTTTCTTCCAGTCCCTACACACCCACTAGCATGAAACCTGACTGGGGGGTCGTCCTGAAAGCAATTTTCCTCTACAACGGTTACACGTTTGTTCATGGGAGGGAAAGGGTCACAGCCTCACGGCCAAAACACAAGTATCTACCCGGGCAGAAGAGCAATGCCACACTACAAACAGAATGTGACAGTGAGCTGCCAATAATGTGTGACCCCCTGATGAAGCAGTCAACAACAGGTGCTTAAGTGGATGTCTGAACTCATCCAACTAAAAAGCCCCTAAACAAGGCTATGCAAACCCGTGCTCTAAAGCAGGTCTCATTTTAATGTATCCACTCGAAAGTGAACACCATGTGGGTGAAACACGTCTTGTGGACAGCGTCACCAACTTAAAGCTATCAAATTGCGTGAGCCTGGACGAGTAAGGTAGGAACACTCTTGTTTGGCTACAGGCAGCATTTTGGAAAAGCTCTTTGAAGGGAAAGCTAAAAAACAACAAGTATGCCGGGGACTTTAATTTCATTGAGTAAAACATCATTTCCAAAGCCACCCCTTCCTTGCATTGTTCTGGGAAGCGAGCAGGGTGCAAAATGTCTCATCATCCCATCAAGAGAAAACAGGAAACTCACTACACGTTGCCTTTTTTTTCCAAAAGGTGATGTTTAGAACCACCTTCTAAAAGGCGAGGCTCCGGCTCCGAGGGCAAAATTTCAACGCTGGTTCATTGATTCGGAGCAACCCTGTGCCCTGGGAAAAGGTGACCCTTGACCATCGTAGCTCTTGGTTCTGAAAGAGCGGGCTGGGGGTCGATTGAAACCGTCCGCAAGACGCCGAAACGATGCACCTTTCGGTGTTTGTCGAGGTTCGGGCCACACAGGTAGACCCATCCCGTAAGAAGAAGCGGCCCTTCTTGCCGCGCCTGACGGGATTTGGGCACAAGCCAAAGCAAGTACTCATTTCCCCCAGTGGATTGTCCAGCAAATCCGACTTTTTGCTTGCCACCCAAAGGGTCTTTCCAAAAAGTATTAATTCAGTCCAGGAATCAGAGAGTGAGGGGATGAGCCCAGCCAAGGAATTGAGGTATTGCCTTGGAAACGAGCGGAAGGAACGACAACAAAACTATCACATAACACATTATTGAGAGGGGTCGACTTTTGGTGGGGCACCAACGGGCGTCTTGCTGCCCTCCCAATCCTACAGGAGGCAAGGCCGGCCAAAATGTCCTGCACTCACCTTGTCCAAACCCTGAACCCAGGAATGCCGGTTTGTTCAACAAAAGCATGGGGTTGCAATCCTATTATCCATTTCGATCGGGAAATGAAATAAGCTTAAGCAATAACAGTAGTGGTTCAACATGGTCCCACAAAACGAAAACAAATGCAACTCCAAGGGCGGCAGGAGCTGGCTGTCAATCGATACCCTGGGCAAAACCCAATTATGGACGTGTTCTTGCACTTTCTTGAAGGGGCCTCTTTGATGATACCTAAAGGTCTCAAAAACAAAATTTGAACGACTCTGTCTGAGCAACACAATACGCAACGGCAACTTTCAACACTACCACCATGTCTCTTCCATGGTCAAAAGATCGTCACTCGAAACGTCGCAGCCCTGCCAAATCCCAGCCTTGCCACTCGCTCAGGATACGCCAAGGCCAAAAGCCAGCCACAGCGCTCAAACCGCACTCGTCGAACTTCCGGGGGCAGGTCCTTGGGAACCAGAGCTGTGCTTCATCTCTGAGCGTTTTGTGCTGGTTGTTTGCCTGGCTGTTGCTCGTGATTGTTTTTTGATTGCGTGTATGCTCCTTGCGTACTTGCTTTGTTGAGTGCTTGTGTCTTGCGTATTTGATTGATGAGGCATGCTTGTGCTGATAAGTTTGCTTGAACAAGTGTTTGTGCGCTTGGGTGTCTGTGTAGATGTGTACATTTGTTTGCTTGTTTGTGTGTATGTGTGTGTGATTGTATGGTTCTGTGTTTGTCTGTGTCACAATCCATGTCTTTCTGCGTCTGTATCTGTGTCTCCATCCGTCTACCCTCAAAAGTGGTATATCCAATGCCACCCCAGGAGTACAACCATTTCCAGTTCACACCTCATGTGAACCAGGGTCCAAACATGTGATTACCAAAGTGACATGGGCAAAGTGACCCATAGACTGTAGACTGGATGCTTGGACCAAACCTCGGCTCGTGTGTTTCACGTCTGAGGTCTGTTCGCCCTGCAGCCGCTTTGCTGCACGCAGAACCTCAGGCATGGCTCACGAGGGGAAGTGAGGATGGCGGAGGAGAGTAAGGGGGTTTTGTCGCCTGTGGTTTCCCATAAAACAAAACCAACAAGAATAACCATTCGAATAAGAATCAACCCGGCTATCAAAGGTTCGAATGTGGCAAAACCGAGGAAATGAAGCCAGCAAAAAGCTTCTCGGGCCAATCGAGACCAAGGACATGCACGTAACACATAAACAAAAACATCCCATGGAACGGTCTTTGAGATTATTTGGGATGGCTGTGTCAGGGCTCCATATTTCCTTTTCGGGCAATTTTCGTTTGGAGCCACGTTCTTTTAGGCCTCCGAAAGGAACGAACAGCACGGAGGCAATTTGCTGACATTGTTACACTGCCATGAACTGCGGAATGCCATCCGACCCATAGACTTGGAAACCCATACGCCTGCGGCCAGACTTGCCTTCAAGTCTTGACTCAGTGTTGGCTCAATTGCCGGCCTCATGGCGATTGCATTGGAGTCTTCATCTACAAATGCAAGCCTTTGATGGGCAAACTGTGTTTCCATGTTCTTTCTCTTCTACTCACTATGATGCAACACGAATTGCTCCAGCTCACAACCCATTGAGCAGCACCGCAAAACGTTGAGGGGCGGTGCATAAACCCCCCGTTAGATCTGCCGCGCCAGAATTCCGCCGCTCAACTCGGGTAAGCTGCTAGGGATCCTTGTATGTTCTTGTGCTGGCATGCACCATGCCTTTCTGGCCCCTAGGACCGGATTCTTTGGAACGCAAGCGCGGTATTTCTCAGCAAGCAAAAGAGAAGTAACTCAACCAACCAACCAATCAAATAAACACGCAAACAGCAAGCAAGCAAACAAACAGGAAAGCAAAGAAAACAAGCAAAACACCGATTGCATGGCCTCAATGCGGGTCTAAGCCCATCCACACTTCTCCGCCAAGCGGCGCGGGCGCACACCTTTGGCACTCCCTCCGCGTCTGGGTATCCTCACTCGAGCGCTTCGCTGAAAACCTCCCAGGTGGCTTGGGCGTCCTTTTTTGACATGAGGCCGTTGGAGCTTGGAAAGGGATCCCCGATTTTTGAGACACACCCATCTCTTCTTTGTATATGTGTTGTCCAGCCCTGGGCCCGAGACCTTCCAGTGGTAGGGTTGAGTCGGCAGACTTCGGGCGATGGCGCATCAGATGGTACACTGGCTGGGTGATGCACACCCGGGGGAGCGCCTCAGCGCGGTGCTTCACATGGTGGATGGCCTGCATGGCCGGGTTCATCACACGGGCACGGTGGTGGAAGTGCCAGCTGGACTCTTCGAGGAGTCGGAGACGGTGGTGGTGCATTGTGCTGAGGTGGTCAATGCAGATGGAGGACTGAAGCTCATTTTTGGGCAGCAGACTTGGGTCACGGTGCACCCCTTGCTTGCGGAGGACTCCTTTGTCACACTCAAAGAGATTTGTGCGGGAATGGGAGGCATTGGATTGGGTGGCTCCATCATGAATATGCAGATCGTGGCACAGCTAGACCACAATGGGCTATGCTGCAGCGTGCTGAGGCAAAATGGCTCGCCATGCGTTCTCCAAGCAGACATTGGATCAGATGACAGCATCAAGCTGCTACATCAAGTTCAACCCCACCGACGACATGTGCTCACGGCGGGCTTTCCTTGTCAGCCGTTTAGCTCCCAGGGTATGCAGCTGGCGATGTTGGATAGGCGCAGTTCGGTGTTTTTTCGTATTCTCAAGGCTGCATACTTGATGGCACCCTCTGCACTCCTGCTGGAATGTGTCCCCGGAGTAGCAAATCATGCAGCGATTCGACGAGGTCTGGATGATTTGGCTCAACTTCTGGACTATCATTTTGTCACGGTCATCATGGACCTCAATCAGATTTGGCCGTGCACTCGCAAACGGTGGTGGGCTCTCATGGTGCCGAAGCAGTACGATGTCCAGATGGTTCAGGCATGGCATTTTGACGAGCAGTACAGACGAGTGGATAGCCTCATTCCCAGGTGGCCACTCTGGCCAGCTGATCATGAGGCACAACTCCGGCTCAGTGAGCATGAGTTGGAGCTGTACCACAATCCGCGCTACGGTCAGGAAGAAAGGCTCCTCTCTCAGTCCAGACCGGCACCTACGTTTTTGCACAGCTACGGCAACGGTCATGACAAATGCCCTTGTGGGTGTCGTGCACGGGGTTTCAGCAAAAGCAGCTTGGAGCAAAAAGGCTTTCGCGGGGTTTACGTTCGCTCTGAACTCGATGATCAGCCTCGGCTACTACATCCCCGTGAACTTGGCCTATTGATGGGTTTTCCGGATACCTATCACTATCCCATGGACTTGCGAGAAGGGCTGTGCTTGCTGGGACAATCTGCATCCCCACTTCAGGCAGCCTGGATGTTTGGTCAGCTTCAGGCACTCACTGGGTTGCAAAAGGGGCAGCGTGCGAGTTCATTGCCCCAGCATGTGCTGCAGAGGTATCGGGCATTTCTCAAGCAACAGAGCCGCCTTGCCTGGCCACTTGCAGCAGATTGGGACTCAGCCCTAGTTTGCATCAAAGAAGAGGGAGTGCCAGACATTTTCCTTGTGAGGGAGGGCCAACAAGATGTTGCCAGCTTCATCCGTGCTGAACGCAAACTTCAGGAGGGTGGTGTTGGTATCACGGTGAATGACGGCTACCACATTGTCTCGCCAGCACACATCCTTAAGCCGATGGGCAGCTATGGGCCACTTCGGATTCAGCGAACCAGGAAGACGGCAGCAACCAACCTTTCCTCAAGTTCTATTACCATCACAATGGTTGGAATTGCGGGCAGACAACATGCTGTGCTACCTTCGGGATCCTTTCTGTTTGAAGCACTCTGGCAGCTTGAACTTCACACTCATGGAAGCTACAGGCTCTACTCCGAACATGGCATCCTCGCTGACCTTGATGAACGCCAATGGCGTTCTGCCACCTTTTGCATGCCACCAGGATGTGGACCAAACCGGCCCTCAGAAGGGGTCACGCTTGCGCAGATGCACCAGTTCCTTGAGCATATGAACAACCACCTGGGCTATCACACTGGCCCGGTTGAATGGATCCTCACCTACCACCTGGAGGACCTGCTTCAAGGTTTGGGCAAATTCAGCCAGCATCTCCAACAGCAGGAGAGGGCGTACGCAATTTGCTGGCATGCAGGGCATTGGTTCCTCCTGGAAGGAGGGCTTTCAGATGACCGCTTGCACCTCATCATTTGGGATGGTGCGTCTATCGTGAACGCCCAGTTCTCCCAAGGCATTGGGGCTGCATTGGCCGATCAACTTGAGGTGCAGACGGTGGACATTCAGCAGACATACCTGCGACAGCAGACCTTCACGTTCTCATGCGGGGCCACCACGTTGCTCCATTTGGCCCGTCGCCTTGGTTTGATCCGAGCCTACACAGCTCAAGATGAGATCCTGCTACATCGACTCCTCCATCAATTACCAGCACGTGGGAACCTACGAGGAGCAGGATGGGAAGGGCAAGATCAAGAGGATGGGTTGGTGCATGCGCTTCAGGCCTTGCTGAGTGAAAAAGGGGTACCTCAGGATCGGGTGCAGGAAAGAGCGCATATGGCGCTCAAAAAGCTGGGAAAGAGTGACGTGCAATCCGCTCTCAACACCAAGCAGCCCTGGGCAACGCTCAAAGCCATGGGCAAACGTCAGCACACCAGCTTCCAGTTCGTCAAGCACGATGAACTTCAGATTAAAATACGCGAGAAGGAGCAGAGCACTTTCGGAATCTCCAAATCGGGCAAGACCCACAAGACCAAGGAGCGCAAGATCGCGCCCACTGCTCTCAAGGCGCACCAACTGAATCCGGACCTGCTGGAGATCATACCGGACACCTTTGTGGGACAAGACGGATCTGCAGTGGTCCACCTTGATGGAGATCAGCTGCGGCATGGTGCAAGTGGTCTGGCAATCAGCACAGTGCCGGATCTACTACCGCATCTGAGAGAGGGCAAAACCTTGTCGGAAAAGCCGCTGGCGGTCCTTACGGTTGGTGAAGTACCAGATGATGTTAAGGGCTTCCTGGCGGTGACCAACATTCGATATCCCGTCTTCCACGCTGAGGCCAAGGAGGCGATACTGGTCACTGGATCATTGGTTCAACTGGGAGAGCTGGCAATCCTTCGCAAAGAGGCCAGCAAGGAAGCTCAGGTTCACACCATCCCCACGCAAGTGATCAAAGTTGTGGTCTACAAAGATCAATGGCCTTCGGATTGGGCAACCTTCGTGGTGGCGCCGGTGAAAAGTGTGATTGACACGGCCCCCACCTTCATGCTCTGCAATGCCAGCTCCTGTGGGCCGAACTGTGGACGATTTCATGCACCATGCGATGATGAGGACATTGAGACTGTCATCATGGACGTTTGGAGTCGGGGGTGGCACACTGTCAAGGGGCAGAAGTCAGGGCCCTTGGAGGCGGATATTTTCAGCTGTTTGATGCGCATACCGGATTTGGCCAGCACTACACTTCAGCAGTTGTCCGGACAGCGCGGCATCTATGTGGAGCCGCGAGATTCCACCGGCAGATCCACTGACAATCAGTATGGAGTGATCTGGCTACAGGGCATGAGCTTCAGGGAGGCCACGTGCAAGCAGGCTGCCACGCCGAAGGTAGTTGCTCTGGTTCGGAAGAATGAGCGCTATGGCTTGCGCTTCACCATGGATCAGATGGAGAAAGCGCACAAGGAGATCAGGCCGGACGCTCCCTTTGAGTTTCTGCGTTTTGACAAGGTCTATCACATCAGTCCGCTTCCCCATGGAACACAGAGACCGGCAGTTCAGAAGCTGCTGAAAGTTTGGAAGTGGGCAGCCAAGCCACTACAACCCAAGCATGCAGGACCTCATGGGATCACCTGGGAGGTTGGATCGTCAGATGAACCACCGTCACAGGTCCTTCAGCACAGCGGTGGTGATGTCGTGATCACCCAGGTCACGAAGGAAATGGTGCATCGCCCAGCAGAAGTTCATGCTACAGCCAAAGCGAGTCGACACATTCAGAAGGCGGCTTCTTCCACCATGAATTGTGATGCCACAGATGGAGGAGATCCCTGGCAACAAGGGCGCGATCCATGGGCCACGTGGTTTCACGCTCCGTCAAAGACCTCAGCCTCATCCTCAACTACCACTAAAGCTGCAGTTGATCGCGTTCAGCAAGTCGAACAGCGCATACGTGCAGACGTCAAAGCTGTTGTGCGCAAGGAGCTCGAGGAGCAGGCGAGCGGTCAGGACGTTGCTATGTACATGGACAATCATGGCGCTGAGCACCGCTTTAGTCGGATTGAGGCAGACCTTGGAGAGCTGCGACATCAGAATGCCAAGTTTGAGCAATGGTTTGCAGAAGCTGGAGCAGCCAACCATAACACGGCCACCAGGCTACAGTCAGTGGCTGAGCAAGTAGGGTTACAGCAGCAAGAGATCACGGCCTTGAATTCCTCCTTCAATGGTTTGCGGTCGCAGATGCAGGAGGACATGCAGACAGGATTTGGACGCCTGGAAGCCCTTCTGTCCAAGAAGTCAAGAACGGAGTGACTCCGTGGGTGGTGGCTCAGCGTGCCAATGGAGCTGAGCTATGACACCCGTGGCATTTTCAAGCCATGGTCCCCGGGGGCCATCGGCTTTGGAAGCAAACAGCAGATGAATCTCAGTGGACCGAACATGGGGTTTGCGCGGTTCGGGATTTATGCCCCACTTGCTTCAAATCATTTCCCAGCCTTAGATCGCCAGGGCATCGGCACAGATGAATTCACATATCAAGCTCAGTTGGTTGCACAGCTCATCCAACTCGCCAACATCTTCATGAGCCAGCAAAGCTTGCTCATCCACATGCTTTTGATCATTCTTGTCATTGGGATGATCTTTCTACTACGTCATTTGAATGGAGGTGGACTCCCTCATTGGGCAGGGGTGCACCAGCACTTTGGAAGATGCATTGTCCGGACAGGAGGCATTGGAGGTCT